ATATGTTCACCACCTTGAGTTATTTATAAAAATAATAAAGGTGGGATAAAAAAAATCTTTTAAAATTATTAATTAACTAATTAATTAAAATATAATATTATGATAAACCTGCTCCCATAAAGAATGAATGGTTTGCTTTTAATTACTATTTCACACACTGTAAACCACTGAAAAAAAATCAACATGGAGATTTCCTGTATAAGAGGTAACATATTTTCTCACTATTTTTGTTGTGCTGTTCAACAAAAATATAAAATCTTTAAATTGGGTCTGTGAATTGTCCTCCTTCAAGAGCAGAACCTGAAGCCTTGTTTTTGAGGGCCAAGATCTGCAGTTTGAATTGATTTAGCAAAGAATGTGAAAATCTGGAAAAGTAATGTACTATAATACTCAATGGACCTCATTTCTGAAATGAAAAAAAAGATGTAGAGACACTATTAATAAAAACAATCAATGTCAATTCAAAGAAACTCATGTAATTGTTATTCAGGTCATTTAAAAATTACATGTTGTGTGTAAAGATCTACAGAGTAAATGAGAACTGGAGTTCTTCAAAAGATCCTAGTAAGGATGCAAAATAGGGAGTTCTAACAGTAACGCATTATGGATCAGAATGATACATTACTTAAAAGATGCAATACTATGAACTATATTAGTTTCATTAGTTTCTTGCTATGAATCAAACTATAATAATTTAGCTGGAAGAATGTTGAGGTATGTATTTTTTCATATTTGAGATGCACAGAACTATTATAACAATTTATATCCAAAATCATACAAAAATATCCTCCACTTTGCACTTTATTTATTATTTATTTAGACATGCACACACACAGACACATTTTTTGCACCACCACTTGAAAATTGTAATGTGGAGAGAAGAAGGCAGTATATTTTACTAATCAAACAATTCTCTTGTTCATTCTGTTTACGTAACACCAGTAGGATTGTATCCATGGAAACCATCCCTCAGTTACTCATGGTTATTTATGGCTTTAATCATCTGCCAGATGCATAGTTTACCAAGAGGAATCAGATCAGTAGGAACCATACCCCTCCCTACTGCTCAAAACAAGAGAATCAAATCCACATACATAGCCAAAATTAAACACACATACCATAAAAAATAATAATCATCTAAAGGATTGAGGCATACATGACATAGAGTTGGCTGAATCCACATGAAACTAAAATGTCTATGAAATATACTGATCAGGTTGTCCAAAATTTTCTTACTGATGGTTCCAGATGTGATTTGACAAAACTCATGTATTTCTCAACTATGTGCATGACATGACACAAACATGTCCCCTGTCCCTGGAGCATGCACTATACTTCTCTAAGTTTTTAGGCAGAGGAGAGGCCATCATTCTGTAATGGTAGAGAATTTTTTTTTTAAAAAAGGGAGGGGGTTATGTGCACCCCCAATAGGCTTTTTTACTTTCTATTTCAAAAATAGGCTCTTTAACTTTACGCAAAAATCAATTCAATTCAATGACATCTGTTTCCCAGAACTCAGCCCTTTTTATTCATTCTTTATTGTCTTGAGTTGTATCTGTTACATAATGAGTTAAGAGCAATTATTGTGTTCAAGAACAATCTTATGAGGTAAGTTATCCTTATAATAACTTGCCCAAGGTCATTCAGTAAGCTTTCAGTAAGTTTCCAAGATTTAAATCTATCTATTACACAGTACGATTCTTGAAAATAAAAAGCCTCGCTTAGCAGTCTATTTTCCATTTCCCAATAAAATCTAATAAAATGAGCAAAACACAGCCACTCTGCTAGTAGCAAAACTTGTTTTTTTTTTTTGGTCTGTTTGAGAGTATCAAACAACCAAATCTCTGTCATTCATCATCTGAAGGCTTGGGATGCAAGAACTAGATACCATGTATTTGATTTAAATCTCTTTTTTTTAACACAAATGTCATTGATATATCATTAACAACTTAGAGATTTGAAAGGGTTATTTAAGCCATCAAGCCCAATCCCTTTACTCAGTGCAGGAATCTAAATTAAAGCAGCCATGCTCACTTTCTGCCTGAACATAACCAGTGAAGGGGGAACTCACCACCTTCCTTGTAGTTTTTAAATCCCCCTGTAGATTTGTTCTTACATTTGTGAATGTTTCCCCAACTTGCTAATTGCCTTGCTGTAACTTAAATAATTATTCCATACCCAGCACTCCAAGACAAAAGGGAATCTTCTTCTGTGTACCTTCCCTTTCAGGTGTTTGAAAAGTATTATCATATCCCCCTTTGTTAGCTCTTTTCAAGTATAAACATTACTAATTCGCTCAATGTCTCCTTATTGAGTTTACAGTCCCTTGAACAGACATGGCCTTTCTCTGTACTAGGACTGTGCTCTGACTACATGAGGTGGGGTCTGACCAATGAAATGAAATCTGAAATGACCAATGAAATGAAATGAAATCTGTGTTGAGTCAGGTTTGACTCCTGATCATCCTACAGGGATAGTTATGAAGTTTTCTTGGCAAGAATATATAACTGGTTTGCCATTGATTTCTTCCAAGAATGTTTTTCCCCTAATTCCCCAGTCTAGTCTAGTCTGGAATTTGCTTAGCTGCTTAGTTTTTTGAGATCAGCAAAGGTCTTCGCTGATGGGTATGATATTGTGGAATGAGTGTTCTCTATTATTGAGAAACTGTACTTCTATTGCTGCAATCTAAAATCACATTTGCCTTTTTAGCAGCCATGTTACACTACCAATTTTTATTCAATGTGTGTTTCCACAATGGTTTCTTATGTGCCACTACAAAGTTAGATATATCCCATCCTGTACCTGTGCATTTGATTTCTTTTTCCTATGTAAAGAACTTTACATTTATATCTATTAAATTAAATTCTGCTGTTTTCTGCCACTTCCCTAACCTATGAAGTTCATTTTAATTTGTTCTGTCGTCTAGAGTTTTATCTAATCCACCTACTTCTGCATAATCTGCAAGTTTTATAAGCCTTCCCTCTACTTCATTCAAGGCATGAATGAAAATGTTGAAAAGTACAAGGCCAGGGACTAATTCCAAAAGCATCATCTCTAATGATTCATTTCAGCTGATGATGAACTATCAGTGAACACTCTTTGAATACAAATCCACCTAACAGATATGTGGATCTACAAACAAACATTTCATCCAGCTCATATTCAACTAGCTTGCTAATCAAAGGCCAGTTTGTTGGAAGCTTTATGATTACAATATTCCAAAGCTATCTTAAAAACAAACAAACAAACAAACAAACAAATCCCATCACAATTGTACAAGTAGTGTCACCAATCACATAATGACATAATAATAATTAAAAAAAAATCTATATTGAGCATCACATATTTCTTACCTGTATTCTCTCCACTTCTAAAAAAGTTGCTGATTGGAAGGCCTTTTCCCATAGTAGGAGATCACATTCTAATTCCACAGAAAAGTAGAGATCCTCTCCCATTTCAGACTGCACTCCAAAGCAGTGTTTTCGCCGATCCAGTATATCACTGTCCTGATGAAAACCTGGAGTTATATAATCTTGCATACATCAATTAAAATTTCTTCTAGTATTGATGCACATGTTAGATGCAGAACAAAGTACCTACATAGAGTAATGTACCATGTAAATGTTATGCCTTTATTTTAATTACTGTATCTGATTTAATTATATAAATTAAATGAAGTATATTACACTGATTAAAACATATCTATAACTATTAATGGTTCTCCTTTACAGCTTAAATTGTACTAACAATATTGAAAAGTGATATATTCCAGATTCAAAGGGATGTTGTGAGTTACAACTAAAGATTACTTTCCCATTCCAAAAAACATGGGTATGAGTTGTCATTCCTCTGAAACTTCAGTAACAACACATCTTCTATTCTCTCCTAAAAATATGAAGACTCTCCTTGTTTCTTTAAACAACCAAACTCAAAATTCCTTGTTCCTTAGATCAAGTTCCACACACAGATTTCTTATGTTAGATTCCTGCTCAGAGATAATTTTGTATTACCTCCTATTATTCTATCCTAATATTGCCACATTTTGTTTAGTTTGTTTTTTGTTTGTTTTTTGCTGTTTTGTCATTTTATGTTGGATTACCACTTTGAAATATGTGTGAAAATCTCCTAAGTATCTGTGTATCTGTAAGGATTCATTTAAATAGACAATCTTGCTATAATTCTATTTTTTTAAGCCAAAGTATTATGCATTGGTGGTTTGAAAAAATAAAAATGAAAAAAAAAAAAGTCCTTTGCATTGTCCAACTTGTGGATTGGAGAAGAGAGGTTATTAATTAACAATAGTTTGGCTGAAAGTTGTCACCTTGAAATTAAGAAATTGGAAAGAAACCTAAAATTAGATTTAAAAAATCAGTTACTACTATACACACCTAGACTAGTGAACGTCTATGTTAATTTCAACAAATGCAACTTCCTTTTGCCTTGGCTGATTGAAGATAATCATAGCCATCTTTGAATACATATTATAATAATCGAGGCTGTAAATCAGATTAGGAATCAGGAGGAGTTAAGAGTACAAGAAGCTTCAGCTTGTCTAGTAGAAATTATTTGTTTCTCTAATGAACTTCATCCTGTAACCTGTAAATGTCACTGAGTTGCACTATGCAAATAACACATACATATATAAAAACTCTACTGAAACATTATAAAGAAGGGTTAACTCATCACAAAATCAGCAGTGGTTAAGTACCGCCTCTGATGCTGGAAAATATGGAAATCAACAATCCACATTTGTATACACACAAGACATTCTCAGTACAAATGTGGAGGCATATCTGCATTGTTACACAGATATAACATTGCACACCATCCGTTTTTGAAGAAGGAGGGTTTGACAAGGCTGTTCACATAGTGAGTTAGCTCTTCTTTGAAATGCATTAATGGGCTTGAAATCCTTGAAAAGGAATTATTTGTCTCTTCAAAAAATCAATAGTTGGCTGCCACTGAGCTAGGACTGCAGTCCTATTAAAACAACAACAAATATAGAGAAATAAGGAGAAAATTACCACTTTACTTGATATGGGACATGTATGTGTAGAAGAGAAAGCCAGATTTTGGGTTCAGATTAAGTCTACTAGTGAGTGAGAAAAAGGATGAAGAGTATTGCTGATGATCTAAACAACCTCTTTTATTTCACATCTATATATTTCTCATTGTTTTATATTCATATAGAAAACAGGGGAACTTCACTGTTCAGTTTTTGGCTGAACTTTGCCCATTGTTCAACAGATTGCTCTTTTACAAAAATACCATCTGACTGAATGATATTGCTGGATGTGACCTCAGAAGTCATCTAGTCCAACTCTCTGCTTGGTGCAGGATCCACTAAAGCATTTTGGACAGGTTCGAAATATTGGACAGATATCCAGCTCATGTGAAGATCTTTAGTGAAGAGGAACGTACCACTTCAGGAAACAACATATTCCATTGGCCAGCAGCAGTTACTATCAAGAAATTCCTCCTAATGTCTAACCTGAATCCACTTCCCTGTAGTTTCAACCCATTAGGTCTTCCCTCCAAGGCAACAGAGAGCAAGTCTATTCCTCACTCTGTATGACAATGCTTTAGTTATCTGAAGACTGCTTCATATCTCCCTTCAGTCTTCTCTTCTGCAAGCTACACATGCACAGTTCCTTGAAATGTTCCTCAGAGGACTTGGTATCCAGTCCCCTGGCCTTCTTGGCAGCCATTCTCTGAAGTTATTCCCATAATTTCAGTGACCTTGTCAACATCATATTCAATAGAGTTATCCTTGTTATTGTATTGCAGCACAACACACTGAGACAGAAAACTTTTCCCACTGCTGAGTTGAAGTGCTCTTCATTCTTCATCCATTGTTGGTTCAGAAGAAAAGTACTCTCCTGCCCCTGTTGCTGATCCCTAACTTGCCTCTCTTTCAAGTCACAGCAGTCCTCTGACTTCCTTCCAAGGTAAAGGATGATGAAGGCTAACCATTTTTATATACCTTGAGACTGTCTTTGGACCATATTAGAATAAAGGGAAATCCAATTTTAATAGCAAAACAGCTAAGAATGATCCAAGCTTCTCTCACTCATGGATTCAGGATGAGATGAAAGCAATGTGATGGGAACATGGCAAAAAAAAATGATGCCAAGACATGTTCACACTATAGCTAGATCAGGGCCAGCTCTAGACATTTTGGCACTGTAGGCAAAGTCATATTCTGGCACTCCCTATGGGTATATTTAACCCTCAAGTGGGCATGTTGGTGCATAGAGTACACTGTTACCTCTTTTCTGGATATAACTTTGATAAGATGATAGTCACGCAACTCGCTCGCTCGGTACCTTCCTATTAGACCTTTGTCTTGCTTTGGTAATATAATCAGCTTCCTGAGGTCCATAGCTGTAATAATAATTTATTTTCCATGCTTTGCAATGCCTGGTTGGTGTGCTGTTCACTATCACTCAACCAACTTTGTGGGTATTTTAGAAGAGTGAAGAAAGAAAAAGTTCTAAAGCACAAGGAAAGTTTATCAGATGCTATATTCATATTGTGTATTTCAGAAGTCTTTTCAATTTTGGCACCCCCTCAAATTTGATACCCTACGCAACTGCCTAGGTTAGGTCTAGAACCAGACCTGGCTAAATGCAAGTGGGCAACAACACAAAAAGCAGTTCCACAAAATTCTTCATCTGTATTTATACTATATAGAATTCATCTGGGCTTTTAATTCAATTTTTAAATCTCTGCTTTGAGCTGTAATTCTAAGTATAATTAGCTTTCACTGTCACTGCATAGCCTTGGCTGTTAACTATTTATCCCACCAAGTGGTTTAAAGATAAAATAATGGTTGAAATTCCTCAAAGAAAAGCAGGATACAAATGTGAGCAAAAAGCCAAAATTCCACTATTGATTTAGTTACCAAAATACCTCATAGTGGTAGTAGAAATGAGACATTTATGGTATTTTCATCAAATTCATCTTAATGCCCTCTCTCCATATTTCATTACAAGAACCTTTTGTCAATTTCACTTTCGATTGAATAGATTATGAAAGAGAAGGCGTAAAAGTTCAATAATGTTTCTAAACATGAACAGTAACTAGAGCCAGGCAATGTCAAACTCTGATTTCCAGGTAGGTCTAAATTCGATCATCTAGGATTGCCCACTTTTAAAGGCAGTGTGTTTCATTGATTCTAAAGCCTGCGAATTTATATTGAATAAGGCAATTGATTCAAATAACCCAATATTTTTTACCCTGCCTGGTGTGGTATCTTTCTATCCTCCAGCAGATAATAGTGACATAGCTAATGAATATGTGTGTACTATCCCTAAACTTTTCCCATAATATCATCCCCATGGCAGAAAAAGCTAAAATCTCAATGAACTACCTAAGCCAGTCCTATAATTCAAACTGGACGAAATGCCAAGCAAAGCATTTCATTGAATTGAAAAAGAGAAATGTGTCAGTTGTTGCTTCCTCATATTACTCTTTCTCTGCATACAGCTTATTCTGATTCGTGGCGCCAAGTTCTAATCCTCCCAAATCCATTACTACACACTGCTAATACTACTTCACATCCTTGTGGTTGTTTTGCATTTGAAGATTTGGTTGTCTTGGCTGATAACACCAATGCCATTTCAAATAAGTTTGATATTTCTGCTGTATGACTCTATGTGCATGTTCCAGTTTGGGAGCTTTGTGCTATAATAGGAATAATCTCAGTCTCAACTCTGATTCTTGGATCAGATTTAGCAGATGCCACCTTCATCAATTGCTTAGTGATAAATGGCAGAACTAAATATTTTAGAGGATCGAATAGATCAATGCTGGAGAGGATAATGTGAACAGAATTAAGAATATTATCTATTTCTTCAAGGGATAAGCAACAAAGCTGATTCAGACACATATCAGTTTAGATAACATGGTAGACACTCTAGGTACATTATTGACCACAGCAATAACAAACTCAGTAACCAAGATATTTTATCCATGAAAAACTAAGTAAACTATTTGCAATGCTTGGGCTGGCACTGGCTAGATGTACTAAATATTGGACCACCCTAAAACCAGCTGCTGTATTGTCAAATGAAGTGTTAATTTAGATAGCATGGATTCATATGGAAAAATGTCGATGTCTAATACAATTCAACCATGTAGTATAATTTTAATTTCATTTTCTAAACATATTTTGGAGATTGCATTCTTTTGGGGGGGGGGGGGGGCAGAACCAGGCAACTGATTCTACTTTTTTTTTTTAATTCAGAAAGAAAACCATGGAAACAATGCAGTTATCAAGTATTTGGCTCATATCCCAGAAGACCATCTTTTCTTGGGAGAATGTCCATTTTTGGTAAACAAGTGAAATACATCTATCAGGAGCAGAATGAAGATAAGCAAGAATTTTCTTACACTTCTTGTACAATAAATATCATTCTATCAATATGAGGATATACTTTTTTGTATATTTCTATACAATTCAGGTAATTGCTTATTCCATAGGATACATTTCTTTCTAAGGTTTTTTTTTTTTCCACTGATCAAAGTGTACAGGATTACTTCTATATGGATTACCAGAAATAGCCCAGGGATTTTGGTGATCCAATGTAAATACAGACAGTTTTAGGCATAGAAGAGAATGTTGCTCAACTTCCATTTTGATTAGAGCTGAAGAAATTCATATTTACCAAATCAGGAAAGTGAAGTATAGTAGCTATTGGTATTTTCACTTTTCACTTTTGTGATATAAATTTGAATAAAAATGCAAAAAAAAATCAACATATACAAAATGACTATAGCAGTGAAAAACTATAAGAAAATATTTTGAATATGATTTGGGTCATAATCTTTCTTGACTGAATGTCATCCGTAGGTCTTGTGGAATGTGTTGGAATGAGATGGGGCCAGTGCATATTGCAAGAGGGGGAAAAGGATGAGGTCAAAGTGCATATCTCCAGGGTAAGAACCACATTCTCCACTGTCTGCAAAAATACATTTCCCCATCCACCATGACCTACTTTATTTGATAGTTTTAATTCTATAAGTAACTGAAAAAAGTCACAGATAGAAACTTGGAGGCAAGACATTGATTGCATGGTTGTGGCCACAGCCACCATCTTGATTTTTCTGACTCCCTCCACCCCCAAATGCTCTTGACCCGCACTGTAAAAGAACTGTTTGCAAAGACTACATTTATCAGACAAATACTATGCTAAGTTTATATAAAATGCATACTATATGAATTAGCATATGAATTTTTACACAGAGAAGTTTTAAGGCACAAATGCACAAATAGTCACAATAAAATGGAGCTTAGAAAATAAGAAATTGAGAGCAATCAAAATGGATAGTTCCATTCTATCTTGTTTGCTCATTCTACATTCACTACTACTTTTAATTTAGCAAAGAAAGTGCCGTTGTGTGGGTGCTCAGGAATAAATTGAGTTGATCACAGAGTAAACAAGTTCACAAATAAAATCAGCTTTGTTTTAGAGGAAATAAACTATTCTCTGGAAGGTCATAGGCCTGCTCTGGCTTCCCAATCCCAAATCCATTGTACATTTTCTCATTTTCATTAAAAACAAACTTCATTTTCTTCAAGTTCACATAGAGTCCTAAAAATACCCTTGTATTGTGAAGGAATATAGACCTGGGCTGGGTATGGGGAATGATTGAACTGTTAAGGGGGGAAAGGTTCAGAAAAGACTGCTCAGCCCTGAGGAAGAGAAAAATATAAGGGAAAGTCAAAATAGCCCAACTTGATGTTGTTTGTATAAGAAAGAGCTGGATCTTTCAAGATTCTGTTATTCTTCCTTTAAACAGCATTTCTGGAATCTCTGCTGTGTCTCTTTCTTGACTTTGAAGGACTGACACATATGGATCTATTCTATGACTAGTGTGGACATTCATATTTTCATTTTATCCCATTAGGAAAATAAAATTGAAATGAAATCAAGCCATTACAGGAAAGAAGATGTTTGAAGCTAAAAACAGACATTTCCAAGTAATTTGTAGTTTTCCTTAGATAATACTGTATCTATATGGTCTATAAGAATTTGTCAAGAAGCATAGATAGTTCAAAACAAGCTCCAATATATGAAATGGAAAGCTAATCAGCCTCTGACACCCAAAATTCAGAATCAATATTACCAATGCTAGAATTTCTTACAACTTGTTTTAAACAGATGGTATGCCTGTTGCAAATTATAGAGCAATAGGGAACCAGAGACCTGCTTAGATGGGTCCATTGCTGAGGGGGCTATTTTTATTCTCCCTTCGCTATGGTTTATATCTTGCTTTTTATTACATTTATTAATGTGCTTTTTATATTTTTATGTTGCTTTTTTATTTGTTTTATGCCACCCACAGTCACTTTTGGTGAGATGGGTGGCTATATAAATTTGCTAAATAAATAAATAAGTGGCTGCATATTCAAAACCATTTAGCTGATTAATTTAATACGACAAAATAATCTGTCAGTAATTATCCCTATATTTTAAAAATTCCACTGAGAGACATTAAACTGGAATCTTCTCCACAATGACCAACCTCTCATGAGGATGCAGGTTCAATATTTGCTGGCTGAAGTTTTAATCATTCAGTCCAACCACAAATTGCTGCATTTCCTTAAGAAAATCCTTCAGGAGCAAACCAAAGTTTTCATTAGTCTAGCATCCTGCTTGACACACAGACGCCCAGAAGATGATTTAGGAAAGCCCTCTAGCTGAACAGGAAATCTTTCAAAAGATCTCTGAACTCAGAAGGAGGTTCCAACCTCTAATTGGTATACTAAAGAATGCCAATGGATAGATAGTAACCAATTCAAAGGACATCAAGCTAAGATGGAAGGAGTATATTGAAACATTGTATAGTAAAGATGTCAACATCCAAGACACCTTAGAAGATGTCCCCTACTTACAAGAACCTCTAGTACTAGAAGATGAAGTTAGATCAGCACTCCGGTCATTACTAAGTTGGAAGGCTACAGGAACTGATGGAATACCCACTGAAATATGGCAAGCAAGAGAAGACTAATCAGTAAAAGTTCTAACCAAGCTATGTCAGCACATCTGGAGAACAACAAAATGACCAAGAGATTTGAAGAGGTCAATCTACATTCCAATACCAAAAAAAGTGTATGCAAACTATTGTGCAATATCGTACAATATTCTTAATTTAAATAATTAAATTTATTAAATAATTAAATAATGCTTAGGATTATCTAACACAGATTAAAGTCCTACATGGAAAAAGAGATGCCAGATGTTCAAGATGGCTTTAGAAAAGGACAAGGGACACAAGACATTATTGCTGATGCACACTGGATAACTGAAAAAGCCAAAGAATACCAAAAAATGTCACTAGCACCAGGTTGGCAAAGAAGTGCGAGAAGGCTATATGTTCTCCCCTTATTTATTCAACCTATATGCTGAATATATATTAAGGGAAGCTGGATTGGAAGAAGATAAGAATGGTTTTAAAACTGGAGGAAGAAACATCAATAACCTGCACTATGCGGATGACACTATCCTAATAGCCAAAACGCAAAGAAACTGCAAGCTCTAGCAATAAACGTCAAGGAGGACAGTGAAAAAATGGGACTAAAATTAAATATAAAGAAGACCAAACTAATGACAACAGTTGGAACAACCAGTTTTAGAATTGACAAAGAAGATATTGAAGTGGTGGATAGCTTCAGCCTTTTAGCATGAACCATCAATAGTAAAGGAAGGAACCAGCAGTCAAGAAATATCCCACAGAATAGCACTTGATACAGCAGCCATGAACGTTTTGAAAAAGATATTCAAATGCTGTGATATGCCTATACTACAAAGATCAGAACTGTGTAAGCCCTGATATTCCCTGTGACACACTATGGAAGCAAAAGTTGGACTTTGAAGAAGCAGGATAGGAAGAGTATTGACGCTTTTGAACTTTGGTGTTGGAGAAGTCTCCTAAGAATACTGTGGATAACAAATGGATCATTGAACAAATCAATCCAGTCCACTCAAGACCCAAATATCCAAGCTGTGGAGACATTATATGAAAGCATAGCTCTCTGAAGAAGGCTCTAATCCTGGGAAAGGTGGAAGGAAAGGGAAGAAGAGGATGCCAGGAGCAAGGTGGATGGACTCAATTACAGTGGCAATGAGTGCACTGTTAGAAGACCTGAAAGACAAGGTAAGCGACAGATAGTCATGGAGAAAATCTATCTGTATGATTGCTAAGAGTTGACAATGTCTTGCTGGCACATTATCAGTTAAAAAAAAATCTAGCTGGACATGAAAGTTAAAGTCTTCCCAGTAACTGCTGATTGGTTCTGGTTTTATACTGATGTAAGAATTAGAAGCAGGGGTAAAATTATCTCCTGTGTATTTAGTTAATGCCCTTTAAAGCAAAGATAATCCCAAATATATCTCCTATGTCACCAGAACATTATTCCCTGAAAAAGCAGGGTAAATTTGAGAAGGTTTAGGGGTGAAATTCTAACATTTGTTTGCTATCTTACTGTAAAGAAAAAGTTGCTAAGTTCTCTCTCTCTCTCTCTCTCTCTCATACAGACACACACACACACACACATAAAAAGTAGCAGCCAGGCTTCTTGTAGTACTCATAGTATATTTACTGCATTTGTCAAAGTAATTGTGGGAATGATGCTTTATCCTCATATAACACCATTTCTAGGGCATTTTGTTCCTAGGGAAGCAGCTGGACATTAAGGGCAGCATTTACATTAAGGGCTGCTTTAAGTGTCATCAAAGATTTTTGTGCTTTAGAAAAATGAGGGGTAGAACCAAAATAACCAAAATTTAGGCCAGCATTTTTTTCTGTTCCATATCCACAGCAACATTCACTGGATGATTTGTTTCTATTACATTTCAACTTCTCTTACATCTGCTCTAAACTAAAAAAAGGCCAATTCCTGTTTTAGTTTAGTTTTCTAAATTAATAAATCATATTCTGGCCTTTAATCCTTTGGGTGAGTCATTCACAATCCTTTCCGTTCTGCAATGTTTATTTTGAGATATAACAACTGGGACTTAACAGTATTCAAAATATTCCCAGCAGCATACATTTGCATAGTTGTGTAAAGTTATTATGATCCTAGGTGAATGGTGAGACAATGCCCCAGATTTATACAAGATTTCTTCTATGGCTTTACTTCATTGTTCAAGAACACTGGATAGATAGAACCAAGGGTTGATAGAATTTCACAGGTTGACTGAATTATTTTGTAATGATTCTTCACTATGTGAATGGTTTTGTAATGAACCTTCACAATGAGATTGCATCAGTCTGATAATCTCCAGATGCAACTTCCATGCTACTTTTCTATATTAGATGTTACATGCAAGCTCCAGAAGAGAATTGGCATTGTTTCCTCAATCCACCAATATGATATTTGCCTTGACAGAAGTTACAATGTTCAGTTAAGCAGAGAAATAATGCCATCAGTATCATTGACTGTGGCTTAAATGGCTATTGCCAAGAGGCATCATTAGGGAGGGAAAGACAGATTGTCAAACAAAGAAAGTACTTGAAAAGGAAAAGGCTTATGCAAATTTATTGACTTTTTCTGAAGAAGAACCTAAATCGAAGAAGAGAGGAGAATTAGAAGGTCATACTTGCCAATAGTTTACTTATGCACAGCTGTTAGAAAGATTTAAATTGGACAAGAGTTATGATTTTACTTATGAGAAAACTGACTTTCAGATGGCTTTGTGTACTAATGATGAACATGTTATTGCCAAGATGCATAAACTTTTGTTGAAAATGAATATGGAAGACGAATACATTAAAGACTGTATGCTTAAGTGGGCAAAAAAAAATTGGATATAATATAATATTGGATCAGCGGGAGAATATGTGGAGTAAAGACTTGAAGTTCACTCTAAACTACAATTTGAAAGAAATTTTTACAAGGTGATGTATCGTTGGTATTTAACACTGGATAAATTATCTGAGGTGTATAAACGAATGTCAAATATATGTTGGAGATGTAATCAATATGAAGGTACTTTTTATCATCTTTGGTGGACTTGTAAGAAGGCTAAGAAATATTGGAATATGATATGTATTCTGATTCAGAGAATTTTAAAAATGGATGTACAATTGAAACCAGAGGTTTTTCTTTTAGGTATGGTGGATAAACAGATTGAAAGAAAAGACGGGACTTTATTTGTTTATATAACAGCAGCAAGACTTTTAAATACACAGAAATGGAAGGACTTACAAATACCTATAGCTGAAGAATGGATAGTGAAATTAATGGAATTGGTGGAGATGGTGAAACTGACTGCTTTGATTAAAGAAAAGACTTTGACTGGCTTTGTTTCTACTTGGAAACTGCTTTTGGACTTTTTGCTTGAAACTGAAAGAAATGAAACTTTAATTTTGGAGTTTGATGACTAATATTTTTTATAGTTATAGAAATACTTTGTACTAGTTTTTTTTGTTATATTTTTTATTATTATAGATATACTTTGTACTACTTTTAACTTTAAAGTAAGAGGTGAATGTATTACCTATTTGTACCTGTACCAAAGGAAGTCAGCAGTTACTCTTTTTCTTTCTTTTCACTTTTTCTTTTCTATACTTTAAATTTCATTCTTTTTCTGATCTTTCCTTTTTCAACTTTTTTTCTTTATTTCCCAATATTTTATTCTTTGTTGAAATTTAATAAAATTCTTTAAAAAAAAGAAAAGGTAAAGACTAAGGTTGAAAAGTACATTAGGGCATGGAAAGAGAAAGTCAAAAGCAGAAACAAGGGAGCAGATATAAGATATAAGGATGCCTATGCCTTCTCCAATAAATTAATATAATTCAGGAGGACTGGATTGGTACTAATCATAGCTTGCATGCAACGTTTTATGTGAAAAACATTATTAATGCACACAGCATATCTAGGATCAGTATCTCATGCCTAAATGACACTGACTAGACACTATTTGTAAGATCGGAAAGAATATTAAATTAAACTTAAAGAACTATGATGCTGACAAGTAACTTCAGAGCTGAATGACCAATTACCGGGATCCAATTACTGGCAAAGATATCTAGCACTTCCTGTAAAAATAAGTACTTTTAACTTATCATAGCTTGGTGATAAAATTGAATTTATTTTTCTAGCACCAGATGCTGTCATGAAGTGGCATTTAGCAAATGATTATTGTGAATTCAGCTTTTGATGAAAGACATTAGCCAAATAGCAGTTTCTGCATATATAATCCCAGAAATAATATATTGGGAAGCACGGCTGTACTTTAGCATAAACAATTTCAGAAATATTGTACATGGAAGTACTCTTGCACACCTATACATATGCACACACATAGACACTGGCTAATAGTTTAACACTTTCCAAATTATTTATTGCTCTTTATTTGCTTCTTGATTTAAGTCTGTACATTTAAAATAAATTAAATTAAGATTTACTAAGTTTTCATAAAATGCAAAATCACAGATAGCAAAAGAAATAAAATAAACATCAATCAAATAAGAATAGTTGCACTTCACAGCAGATACTATTAAAACCTCCTTGGTCAACACTATGTTACTTTTGAGTGTTATTAATATGCAAAGTCACCTCTGACCACATATTTAAAAAACTGCTGCTTCGATAGCCTTGAGAAACAGAAGGGTTGGGTGGTATGTAGAAATAAACATAGCTACTACCCTGACTTTTGTAACCTTAGGATAAAAAGCAAGGAAATAAAAGGCTTGCTTTGACTTCTCTTTATTGCTCATGGCTGTTAGTCCTTCAAGATAGTCCAGACAAGAAGTACAACTATCAGTATTAGCTCTATCTTTATTGTAAGGTTACATTAACAGAATCTTGCAAGTTTGAAAGTATTTCCCCCCCCCTTTACTTTTACTCTCCAGAAAATTAGGGAGGGTCACTTCTAAAACACTTCTCATGTCCCCTCTGCTTCTATGAGCTGAGATAGCTCTTGCCTAATGGTTGTCTGATCTGTGACTCTTCCTCCTGTCTCCCAAGGCCATTCCCACACATCATTACAATGGCAGAGTGCTCAAAACAGTTTTAGGGCCCCGTCCCCCAGAATGTTCTAACTATGTCATGAGCTTAAAGCAACATCCTCCCCCCGCACTTGATATGCAATCCTAATTTCTACCCAGTGTTCACTTATGCTTGAGGAATTCAGCCATGCTTTATATCTATGCTACTCTTCCTTTAACTTTTTAAATGAAATCTATTTTTATTCTTCGTACCTTGAATATTTTGTACATGATCTCATATACAGAAAATGTTCTTTCAGCTCGGGTCCAGTCCCATGTTGTGACCTTGGGTAAAAATACACACGAAAACTAATTACACTGATTTTTCATACAATTTTGAAAATCAATTCCACCAACCCACTTACACCTGCATATGCAATGAGATGGCCAAGAAAACATGCTATGATTTATAGAAAAACATTTTTGTTTTTTTTAAGCTCTCCAGTATGAATTATTTTTGGCTTTGAATGTATTATTCTTGGAAATTGGTAAATAGAAAGGGAGCTATTTTTAAGTTGCTTGTGAAAATATATTAATTTATATAATATATAATTTATATATAATATAATGTATTGGTATTTTCCAAAAATATTTATAGACTTTACTGCTTTTGATGGAAATTGGAAGAACTGCAAAAGGAGGAAGACTTTCTTTAATTTATGAATAAATAACACTATAAATGAGCAGGATCTATTTTCAGATCAGTTTTCTATTGAGGTTGTGTTTATAAATCATTTCCTATTACTGTTTTTTCACCATTATTGCCTTTTCACTACTATCATTTTATATTCTTTTCTGATACAGTGTTGAATGAAAAGCCCTGGATTAATACAAAACCTCTAAATCAATGTTTAAAAAAACATCTGTAATTTAATCATGAAGCAAGATACTGAATGATACTTACTGGAGGTGCTATAAATTTATAAAGTGAAGAACCCCTCAGTGCAAGAAACTTTGGTGTGTACATTCGGTCCTGAAGAGAATCTTGTTCCCGTTCCTCTGTCCAGCCCATGTAGACTATCTGGCATGAAAAACAACACTTTTTGCTTTCTACAAATTATTATTTATATAAAAGACACATACTGAATATTCAAGATGAAAAGACACAAACTGTAACAGACTGTTTATATAATCATCATCTGGAAATTCGCTGGATAATCAGACCTTGTGAATATCCTCAACTGTGCATACAATATATGATGTATGAACATAGAGATTCATGCTATACCATACATGATCCAGTGAGTTATCATACCCTGAATTTGCATTGTAACTATATGGACATTAATAGGCATTTTCACCATCTTCCCTAAAAGAAAATAAATATGATGCAGTGAGCATGATGTTGCAATCAATATGCTTAGGTGGGATTTAAGTTACCATTTATGTGATTCCTGCAAAGGTAAGATCTTAGTTATAGGAAACTGCTATTGACCAGTTTACATTTGTCATTCATCAAGTTGTTAAATGATAATAATAGCTGCTTACATGCATATTAATCTTTCAGTGAAAACTGAATCTACTTCTCCTGAGCAAGGCATTTTGACCCAGTAGATACATAAATAGAATTAACTATGAATTATTAAAAACACAGGCTATTTAATGTGGTAGTAAGAATTTTGTTCATTTAGTAGGTTTTCTCCTTGAAAGAGCTTACAATACTTTATAAAGTTTCTACCACTGTCAGTCATTAAACAGAACAAAGCCATTTATTCTGTGTAGATTCAATGATATTTCATACAGGACCTTTCCCCTATATTAAAGCATTCATGAAATTTAAAAGCAATTCCCTTTGAGATATTATCCCTTGGCTGTCTACATCATGAGATTAGATAGATTTTACACACAACCCATTCTTTTATTAAAGATTTATAAACATAAAAAGGCACTTCTGATTCAGACTGCATAACTGCAATCAAATTATTGATGCAAAACACTGTAAGATACCAGAAGCACTATTCACCTGCTTCCTCCTAAAGCAGGAATTCAAATGATGAATTTAATCCTATACATTTGGTTTAGCTTCTGCTGGTACTCTGTAATAAAATTCATATTGTGAATACTCAAGGCAAAATTGCCTGCCAAACTGTTTCAAAATAACTTTAGTACAATTTTAAAAAATCAGTAGGATAATTTTATAATACTAAAATATAATCTGAGCAGATTATAAACCAGATTGTGTGATGAAAGTGGAATATTCAATATGGGCATAGTTACTACTCCATCATTACTATAATTGTGGTCACTAACCCTTCCAATCTTACACCAAAGGTACTGCCTTCTAATTTTTTTAATTATTTTAATTTGTTTGTTATAAATCATCCAAAATCTCTGTTATGCTGGCAACTTTCGTTATAGAATAATTCCATCTCTAAATCTCTACATTGCAGTTCAAAAAGCCATCTCATGTGACTTCTGATTTGATGTTTTAGTCCTTGGGTTTGAGATTTGCATTAATTTTGCCTTTTATTCAAATAATGGATTCCACTTAGTGATACGCCACGTAATACCTAGGAATAACCTAATAAAATAATTCTAAAGCAATAAAAGGGATGTGTCATTAATAAAGATATTAGGTAATAGTGAAGACAAGAATGACACTTATACATTTGTACACAATAACTTTTCCCTGATATCTATTATATCACTTAAAAAAAAAAAGCCCTCAATTTATCTATTTTCTTGTCATAGAATTTTCTTCATGACTCATGAGTTGCCAGTGCTTTAAGGCACCTGAGAGGCCATCCTACCCAATATATAATTATCTCTCTCTTAAAGGATGTCACCAGTCACCTCTTGAGAAAGCAGGGATGGGAACAAGTAATTTGAGACTGAGCATGAATGCTTTCTGTCACTCCCATTAGAGATCCTTGGGATCAGAATTACTGGCTTGCTGTGTGTTCTCACCCCACCAGCTATTCCTGGTGGCAGGAAAAGATTTTATGCTCTTCTAACTGCATAGTTATTTTTTCCAGTCATTTGCACTAGATGAAGGAGGGGAAGAGAGAGATGAAGAAACTATACTGAAAAATATTATCTCCCTTTTGATTCTTCTTTTCTTCCTTTTGCATTCTCCCTATATTTCCTCCTTGTATGTGAAATAAAACACAGAGAGGTAGAGAGGGAGGTGCTGTCAACTTTTGTCACTGATGATACCCTCACAACAAGAAACTACTGTTTTACCATATCCCTCCACCAGCTGTCCTCACAATACTTTCTCAGAATGATTGATATACTTGTATGTTCCAAAATACCAGAAATTCTTTTTTAAAAAACCTTAAATTGATTTTGGGAATTTTGGACTTGTAGTTCATCCTGGAGAAGGTCTATCTACGTGGTCACTAAGAACTGAAAGCAACTTGATGATACATAATAAAAAACAAACCAAACTAAACCCCAAACCTTGTAATATACAAAAGGCTATAGAAATTAATAATTTCCACATTATTAATATTAATATAATAAATTAATAATAAAAACAAGGAAAGACCTCAATGGAATTATAAAGTAGGTCAAATATTATGGCAATGTACTTGCTTTCATATTTTATTTTATTTTATTTTATTTTATTTTATTTTATTTTATTTATTTATATATAAATAAATATATAAATAAATATATAAATCCTTTATATATAGGCACCCCTCTTATACAAGTGACTCTTAGAAATTAAAAACAAACCCCCCAAACCCCCCCCAAATATAAATGGTGTAAAAATGTTGATATTCAAACAATATAGAAGTTCTTATACTTTAGAAGTTATTATTTACAGAAATTAGTATATTTCTAATTTTAAGCAATCCAACATTTTCATTGATTTTTCTCATTTACCTGTCACATACTTTATTTCTAATAAGTAGTCATGTTTTTCATTCATTTACCACTGGTAGAATCCCACTGCGCTTCTTTCAAAATAATTCTATATTTTATTCAAGGAGAGAATTCTTTGACAATCTCAACAGAGCTGTTGTACACAAGTCTTTGCTTTGTACTTCCTAAAGATTTTGCTCAAAGATTTATCATACATTAGGGTGTTGCACACTCCTCTCATTCCCCTTTAAGATCAATAGCAGAATGTTTTCCATTGTAAAAATCATAGCTGAGAAAGATAATTTTAAGTGGGGCTACACAGAAGCTTGGAAGGTTTAATGAGCTTGGGATAACTTATTAGTGCCAAGCACTGGATATAAAACTGGCTTTGGGTGAGGTTTCTGGGTGTTTAATTTCCTGGGGAACTCACTTAAAGCTGCATAGCTAAATGATGATGTATCACCTTCTCTAGCTTCCAGCAATAATTTGCTATTTGTTTACTCATGAATACTACAGAGTAGTTGAGATCTGTAAAAACCTATTTATTCCTCTTATCTTTTTGTCTATGCAACAAAACGTTAAGCTATTGCTTGTACTATGAAAATTAGCTCACTGGGACTTATCCTACTTTATGGTCCACAATACCTTGTTTCAACTTTCTGAAGAAAGTTGAAACAAGGTATTGTGGACCATAAAGTAGGATAGGTCCCAGTGAGCTAATTTTCATAGTGCCTCTATCTAATCTATCTAAATATTCTTTCTGTCTGCTTTTGGAATGCCTATTAACATGGTGAATTGTCTCATGGCTTAAAAACATTTTATTTATGTTTGAGAGAAGTTTTTTTTTTTTTATCTGATGTTATGAGATTAAAACTCCCAGAATTCCCAGCTAAATGACCTCAAGTTTTAGTCTAATTAATGCTTGGTTGGAATATGTTTTGGAAATTCCACATTCACTTTCTTGCATTTCAAGATAGACAAAAGATGCTATGCATTCATAATTAATCATCTCAGATAAATCTGCTTCAAGGGAATATAAAACATGTTGCCAGTGATTATGATTAACAACTGCAAAATATCTATTGTTTCTGCATCTTATATTATCACCCTTCAGATATTTTTAAAATTCAAATTTGTGTAAAAAAGTACTAGGAACATAAGCATCAAAGTTAATTGAATTGGACAATACAGATATAAGATAAAAATGACAACATAATTATGTGGCAGAGAAGATGTCATTTATCTTATAAAAAGAAATCAATGCTTCTAACTGAAAGAGGACAAAATAATCAGAGAATATAATTCAATTTTCAAACTTCAAATTATATATATACATACACACATATACATATATATACAACTACACACAGAGAGACATATTTAGTTATAATTATGCAGCTATGATGAGATAGAAGCATTTTCTCATTTTATTCCTTTACATAAACAGCTTAATGATCTGTGAGTATTTATTTAATTAAATATGCTATATAAATAGCACTACAAGGAGCTTAATTGGCTAACAATAAAACATTGAACAAGAATTTCCAAGCATGGTGTTTGCCAGTACATAAGATACTTCAATTCCCAATCTAGACAACATTCCTCAAAAAGTTGCCATAACTGAAATGAACTCTTCCCAGTTTCTGGTAAAGATCATCCCATCCAACAACATGACCAATCTAATATCAGTTATACAATTGGGTTTGTGCCCAGATGGAAAAAACTCCAATGATCAATGTCCGCTATGAAAGCTTGAACTAAGATGTGATCAACTCTTTTGTGTGGGGTTTTGATAAGGGACTGAAGTAAGAACATGAAACCAAAACACTGTCAGTTTATATTATTATTTTGCAAACAGTGCCAGTGCCAAAATGAGTACTGAACAGGTATTTCTTCAAAACAGCAAGCAGCAATGCGATTACTTATGCCATTAGAGATTTGGATGTATTATTGACATCACACTGATCATTATCCCTTTTGATAATGCATGCTTTTATCAGGAAACCAACACATTTTGCATTCCTGCTAAAAATATCTATTTTTCTTCTTGCTTACACTTGAAAATATCTTTTTTTTAATTAAAGAAGCTCACCGTTGTGCAGTTAAGAACACCCACATTATAGATAGCATGTCAAAACTTTGAAAACACTTGTTTTCTTGATGATTTAATTCTTCCTTATCTATATTATGCACGTTGACTCTCAATCACTC